TCTGTAATTAGCACCTGCACACCAAGCTTCATTTTTGTTTTCTGCAGGCTGAAGTCAAGGCAAGCAATTTTTGCATTAACTATTCTCTTGGGCATGCCTATAATTGAACATAATATTAAAATATTAAGTCCTTTCACAGAAACTACTAATAACAGTACATTTTATACACCCAACCATAAAGCATGAGATTGTCATATGTAAACACAAATTTCAATTTGTTTAACATAACACATTTTTATGGCATTAGACACACGTACTTTCTTCTAATTTGCATTTTTCCTAAGTTATGTGCTTAAGTTACTAAAGAGAAACTGACAATGTGACGTACATTCCTTAAAGAACAGTTAAGTGCACAGCTTGGATAGTTCATCTGAAGATGAACAGGAAGCAGCCAGAAAGCTAATTTTAACCTCTAGTCCTCTCGTTAGTGACCACATCCCGAGCCTTACCCTGAGACCCCACCACACAGTTGAGTGCATAGCCATTGATGAGCACACTCTCCATCTGACTTCTCCCATGGGCTTTCAGAATATTAATGGAATTGACTGGATAGCGAGGCTGGCCTCTTGCATCTGTGTATTTAATAGCAAGTACGGCATCTACCACCATACTAGCGAAGAAATCACCATCTCTAAGGCGATAGTTAAGGGGAACAAGAGACTTGGAATGGAGAACAGGGAACCATGAAAATCAAGGGTAATTCAAAGGCACTTCCCTTTTGCAATCTCATCAAGAAAACAAGGATTACTTATCATTACCTGCAGTTCATATTACTTTCACTCTATATTACCTCCCCCCTAAAGAAGCAGGGAAGGAAACAGGCAATTTCAAAACAGCATCACCTGGCATGAAAACTAACACAAGTTCTTTCTTTTAAAAAAGCCCAAACTTTATTGGACCACCACAAGGATACATTCCAATGATTTTGGATGACATTGATGTTTTAGCAGCATTAGTCAGGCAATCTCTTCCAAGTTCATCTGTGTTAATAATTAGATTTTCACTGATATAACGCACTGCTTCCCTGTTTAAAGCGTGGGGGAGAAAACAATTACAAATTAATTCACTATTCAAACTTTTGTTTTACCACAGTGTCAAAATGTCATAGGCACCAATTTTCTGTTCAGCCATTTCATATAGGAGGAGGACACAAATAAATCCTCCCTCTTCAGATCATGGCAATTTTAATCTATCCCATAAGCATAGCCACTAAAATCTATTAGGAGAAAATGTGGTAGTCAAATGGGAAGAAAAGATACTGGCTCTACTTCTTCAAATATCACTTAAATGCTAAAATGTAACTTTAAAAAAATAAGATGTAGTTATTAATGAAAACATTTAAACACAGTTTGCAATTATTACATCAAATAATATAAAATTTTCTCTGAATACAGACAATCTTACTTGCAAGCAAGTCGATAGCCACTAATAACAGACGTGGGATGAATTTTCTGTTTGACTAGTTCATCCGCGTTTTTTAGAAGTTCTGCTGCAATAATAACCTGTTGAGAAAACATTCGTGGCTATAATACTAGGCTTGCACTCTACATGCAATGTGTATGTAAAAGCAGCAAAATTACAGATATTAACCAGAATTGTGATGGCAGTAAAATGAGTAACTGATCAGAAACCTGAAAAAAAGATAACTCTACTCAGTGTTTCATATTCAAATGGCCAAAACCAAGAAAAAGCCAGAAAAATGTTCTGGCTAATACACCAGTTCTGCAGTACAATAGTCAAAGACTACCCATCCATTACTTTTAAAGATTAAGTGTCCAACAAATGCTAAGAGTCTGGCCTTTACTATTTTAGGTTATTATTTGGCTTATTATAAAAATCATTTAAAGACACTAAAAATACTTTTTAAATATTTTTTTTATTCTTTTATTTCAGAGAGAAGGGGGAGAGCTAGAAATATCAATGAGAGGGAATCACTGGCTGCCTCCTGCACATTGGACCGAACCCACAACCCAGGCATGTGCCCTTGACCTGAATCGAACCTGGGACCCTTCAGTCCGCAGGCCGACACTCTATCCATTGAGCCAAACCAGCTAGGGCTAAAAATATTTTTTAATTAAAAAGACTTCAGCCCAGCTGGCATGGATCCGTGGTTGAGCCTCGACTTATGAACCAGGAGGTCAGGGTTCGATTCCCGGTCAGCTAACATGCCTGAGTTGCGGGCTCGATCCCCAGTGTGGGGTGTGCAGGAGGCAGCTGATCCCATGATTCTTTCTCATCATTGATGATTCATTCTATCTCTCCCTCCCTCTCCAAAATCAATAAAAATATATATATATTTTAATATATTTTATTGATTTTTTACAGAGAGGAAGGGAGAGGGATAGAGTTAGAAACATCGATGAGAGAGAAACATCGATCAGCTGCTTCCTGCACACCCCCCACTGGGTATGTGCCTGCAACCAAGGTATATGCCCTTGACCGGAATCGAGCCTGGGACCCTTGAGTCCTCAGGCCAACGCTCTATCCACTGAGCTAAACCGGTTAGCGCAATAAAAATATATTTTAAAAAAGAAATAAAGAGTTCAAAAATGCTGCTTTGGGGGGAAATTCTAATTTTAAGACCATTTTTATTTTATAAGCGGTAGAGTCCATTCTTTCATGGCTTATAGTTTAATTTAGAAATGCAAACATTTCCCCACACAATACATTGTTTCTTTAGAGCAAATTACTTGTTTCTATATCAATGTGCTGGATGCTCTCCACATTTATAATACTGATCACACTCCCATTCTGAACTCATGAGATTGCCTCGCCAGCATGTAAAATATAAAAGCATCTTGTTTTTATAAACCGGTGAAATTTTATTTAATTACAAAGGGAAGGTTTTAGAAATTTCTAAGTCTCAGGTCAGGAAGGGACCATACTGAAATATTTCTTAAGTTTCTTCTCTACTTAAAGTGTACAAACTAGGTATAACCATCAGCTTTTTCAAGTTTAGTTTCAGAATCACTGCCCATTTCCCCCCCTTTGAACTCGTTTTTAACTCAGAAACAAATAACTGACTGCGGTTCACTTTCTGACTGACCTAGGAAAGCGAGTCTTTCGCCATCTACCTGGCTACCTACCACGGAGGTGGTCCCATCGCCCACTTCTTTGTCTTGCAGGTCAGCGAGCTCACAAAGAACTTTAGCTGCAGGATGCTCTACCTCCAGTAACTTCAGGATGGTCGCACCATCATTAGTAATGGTGATATCCTAAGGATGTGCAGGGGAGGGGGAAAAACCCGCAATTATGTACAGAAACAGGACATCCCCTCAGTAACACAACCACATTATGACACACCTTCACCCCTTCCAATACAAGCACTCTGATTAAAAACCAAGATTTACATAGCAAAACATTTAAGATCTCATTAATTTAAAGACACAAACATCTAGCTGTACTTACACCAATATCATCCACCAACATTTTATCCAAGCCAACTGGTCCAAGAGAACTCTTCACAATATTGGCAATAGAAGCTGCAGCCATAACTATAGAAATGAAACAATGAAATTAGGAAAACCCACTACTTCAAAGGGCAATTTCAGCTTCAAGAAAGTAAATGACAGCCAACAGCCCCTGAATTTTCCCAATCTACAAATCTGTCCTAATCCCTTAAAATAAAACGGTCACCTACTAGTCATAATTTGGCTTCTGTCACCTCATGTAGAAAAAGGAAAACTAGCGGCTTTTTCTTTAAAAACCCCTACTAAAATCAACAGTCTTTATCTGTGAATAAGAAAAAAGTGCGAACCAGAGCTTCTGACTTTATTGCAAATTCATCCAAGACAAGAATTCGTAACCAACGGCTAGATGGACAGGCATCCATGCCGTGGAGTGTACGCGCTCCCAAAGGGGCTCACCAACAAGTGCTTTGGTCCGGGCCGGCGCCTACTAGAATAAGTTCACTGTTTATCGCTTATACAACATCCAACTAGGTCCCTGGCTACTCTTATTTCAACGGGCTGCCAGCGATGGGCGAGGACAGACGAGCTCTGGACGCCGGGCACCGCGTCTCAGGCGACAGCGCGGGCCTTGCAGCCATTGCTCCTCAGGGGACCGAGCGCGCGGGGAGGCTGGTCTTTCCCGGCTCATGGTCCTCAAACGAGGCCTCGAGATGCTCCGCGTGGTCAGAACCGGAACAGAGGGGCTCAGAGGTGCCGAAGGGACGCCAGGCGTGGCCGGCACGTGTCGGTACCGGGGACCCACCGCCCGACACTCCCGTCCGGCGCGGGTCTCCAAACCCGCCGCGCTTTCCTACGGGAAGGGGCCGCTGCCGCCCCGCCCAGAAGGCACGGACCCGCGGGGGTAGGTTACGCACCGCACCCCGACCCTATTTTGGGGAGAGAAGGGAAGCAACAGGATCGGAGCCCGGCCCCGGCGGGCAGGGCTGGGGGGAGCGCTCCGCGTCACCCAGCCGAGGCCTCGCCCGTCCTTACCGTTCTGGGAGCGGATCGCCTCCCCCGTGCTGCGGTCCCCGAACACGGACAGAGGCCCCTCCATCTTCGCGGCAGGGTACACCTCGCGCTTCACGTACACCGCGGACGGCTAACGTCGGTTCCGAGGCCCAGCGGCGGCCACACCAGCACCAGCGGCAGCGGCAGCGCGGCGTGGACCGGGCCCAGGCGATGCCGCAGGGGATGCTGGGAGCACCACTCCACCTCTTCCCCCGCCCACCCGGCCCCTCAGCCCCTGCGCCGCCGCGGGGCAGGGCGGGAAAGAGAGGAGGGGAGGGGGCGAGAAGCGTGAATGTGTAGGAAGTGAGGAGCCGGAAGGGCGGGTTCATCACTTTTGCCCAATTAGAGAGCGAATAGGAAGGGCGCGAAGGCAGAACGGAAGTCCGGCTCCTGCACCGCGGTAGGAAATTGCCCAGGTGCGCGTGCGCATTGGCACATTCTAGTGCCTTCCAGAAAAGGGGGTTCACGGTGGGGTGGGGCCTGGAGTGTGACGGAAGGAGGGTGGGCACTTCTTAAAGGTACAGCGGGGCCTCTGAGCTACTCGCGTGTTTATACCAGCAATTGTTTTTCACAAACTAGTAAAACTGCAGCTCACCAAGAAATATACTTTTGCCTATTTTGATTCATTCACATTGTACAGCTATTGTAGTGGCTATTTTTTTGATTTCAGAAAAGAGGTCAGTGCTCCCGACTAAAGAGTCAGCTATTGCGTGTTTTAAAAACTATTGTAGTTTATACAGTAAATATTTTCCTTGTTCTCCTTACACGTAGGAACGTGTTTGGAGAGCAGCCGGCAAGTCGCAGGCTTTGTTCCTGGGCTCCGAGTGCAAGCTGGGCCAGGGTGGGACGGGCGAGGCTTTCCCCGGTAAAATGACGGCCATCGTTTCTGCAGAGAAAGCTGTGCGCCTTGCTCTGCCCCGTCTCCTCCCAGTGCCCGACCGCTGTGTGTGGCGTCACGGTCGGTGAGCTCTGCCACCAGAAGGCCCAAATAAGGGAGCGCGAAGTCCCGGCTTCCTCCGCAAATCTGCAAAAGGCGTCGCGGAAACGAAGGGGTCGCGTCCACCCCCGAGGGCTTTACTGTGAGGTGGTTGGTCGGCTCCGGCGGCTGCGTGACCCCAGCGTAAGCGATGATTGGAGGAGCTGAGGTAACAGGTGGCCCTCTCGGCCACTCAGCGGCCGGGAAACTGTTAGTTCCGGGTGGAGGGTCGACGGCCGACGGGATCCTGAGGCTTTTCCCTGAGTTAACATGGCTGCGCCCGGCAGGTCGTGGGGTCGTGGGTGAGGGAAGGTGGAGAAGCGTTCCCTCGGCTTTGCCCACGGTCCCCTCGGCGATGGCGCTTCGGTCAAGGTGCTGGGAGTTGTTGTCGGCCCGCAGGAACCCCGGTAATCTCCCCTCTTCTCCGAGATTCCTCCCTGGGGCCTGCAGGGTAACGTGCCCGTGCCAGTCGGGTCTTACATTCCACGTCCCCATCGAAGGGGGACGAGCCGACAGCATTGTGAGGGGGTCTGAGGTCACTGCGCCCTGTGGCCAAGCGCAGCTCTTGTCCCCCGTCCAGGGCCAGAAGGTGGGGGGACGGATGGGAAAGGTCTGGTCTTGTCTGGAGTCACTTTTAAAGGCGCCGCGCGCTGGTTTCTGTTGCAGGGCGCGGGGTCGCGGCGCTGTCCACCCGTTCCGAGCCGGAGGTGCAGCCTGAAGCCGACCCTCTGGGAAACGACGCTGTGGCCCCCGAGTTCACCAACCGGAACCCCCGTAATCTGGAACTCTTGGCCGTGGCCCGGAAGGAGCGGGGCTGGGGCACCGTGTGGCCCTCCCGGGAGTTCTGGCACAGGTAGGTCGGCCGACAGGGACGGGCCTCGGATTGCTCTCACCCGGCCATTCCCACGAGCCAGGGCCTGCGGGGCCCCTTCTCCGGAAGCCCGGGTGGGTGGGTAGAGCAGGGGCCAGCGGAAGTGGGGGCACGGAGGACACTGAAAAAGGGTGCTGGTTGAATGGGGGGGGGGGGTGCCCAGTTATCTGCCAAGAAGAGCATTGCCGCGGAGGGAGCAGCAGGGCGGCCAGGAGCCCGGTGTGAGGTCTCGGTGGAGTGGACACGGGTGAAGGGTGCGAGATGAAGACGGGGAAGCAGGTGGGATACCGATGGATTCTTTACTTTGTAAAGCGAAGTGAGCCCTTTAGACTGTATTTCCGCTGCAGCGAGAACCTGTGAGGGGCTTTGCAGGTGGAGTCCGAGTTAAAGGTCATTCTGGTTACCTTCGGGAGAAGACGTTTTTAAGGGGCGAGGGTAGAAGCGAGAAGACGGGTTCCGAGTCTTGTATAAAGATGGTTATTTACTGAACACTTTGTATTTGCCCGCAACCAAGCTAATTGCTTTATGCATTCAGGGCTTTGGTCCATCTTACACTTACTTTGGTGTGAGCTGGGAAATGCAAGTGTAGAGTAAGTTTATCTTTACCCAGTGTGGAGTCAGCAACGTAGCTCTATCTACTCAGACCCTTTTCTAAAATAAATGCTGGATAAATATATCTCCACTCTCAGAAACACCAAGTTTCTCTTTGACATGAGAGGTTGAGCGGAAGTGCTTGGTTTATTGTTGAGGATATCCTCATAAAGGCAAGGAAAAATACCTTTCCCAAGTAAAATCGGGGTGAAGTACATTGAAGCAAATGAGCACAATATTTAGGCACATATTCACCTGAAGTCACTTATCTTTACGATTCTTTTATGATTTTACTCTCTCCTCATTTAGGCTGCGAGTTATAAGGACTCAGCACCATGTAGAAGCACTTGTTGAGCATCGCAACGGCCAGGTTGTGGTTTCTGCCTCCACACGTGAGTGGGCTATTAAAAAGCACCTTTACAGCACCAAAAACGTGGCGGCTTGTGAGAACATAGGACGGGTGCTGGCGGAACGATGCCTTGAGGCAGGAATCAACTTCATGGTCTACCAACCAACTCCTTGGGAGGCAGCCTCAGAATCGGTATTTTGGTTTTCATGTACTTACCTTAAAAGTACTGTGTTAATTCTTGATATTAGATACATAATAATAATAGTTCCATATTTCAAATTCTTTTCATGTGTCAGACTCAGGTGGGTATCCTGATGTGCATTACCTAGTTTCATCCTCACAGCAGCCCAAGGGTCAGGACTAGTGTTCCCGGTTCTGTATATAAGTAACCGAGACTGGCAAGTCCAGCCGTGGTGGGGGAGGTTTCAAACCCACGGCGACTAATTCTACAGCCATCATGTCGACCACTCTACTTCCTTGTTCATGTATTAGCACCCTGTCTGTATAATATTTAAAACACTGCTTGATATCCTTGAGGTTTCTGCATTCTCTGTTTTCTTATCTGGCTCGTTATGAAGGTCAGTTTCAGAAAATCCAGCGTAGGTGTGAAGTTAACAAGGAGCAAATCAGTTGTTCTCTTTCTCTTAGGAAGTAGACTGTTTATTGTCAGCTTACTTGTGCTTACTTAACCCTTTCCCTTTCTTGGTCCTTAAAACCAGATGCAGCGACTGCAGAGGGCTGTGACGGAAGGTGGTGTGGTGCTCCGGGAGCCTCGGAGAATTTATGAATGAGACAAACATTGTTTGGAACTTGTCATTGTTAAGCTGTCAGCCATCACATCCCTCAGAAGGGAGCCCCTGGAAGAACAGCCGACTGGGAAGCTGTGCGCAGTAATGTCACTGCAGAATGTTGTTAGCAGTTACACACAGCCCCTTCTCCCCTTGTGTGTTAGCAGTTACACACAGCCCCTTCTCTTGGACATGAGAGCGGTATCTGAGAAAAGCTGTCACCAGTTATAATTAACTTTTGAAGGACAAATTAAAGGTTTATAAGTTAAAGAATAAAAGCATAGTGTGAACTTGAACTTTCTAATTATATTAAATTTCTTCACGTTTTCAGCTCACTCTGGCAAGACTACACATGAGGTTTATGCAAAGCACTTGTTATCATGTCTGGCTCATGGGGGGTGATCTACATGATTGCTGTTGCTGCTCAGGATGTGGAGTTGGTTTTTAAATATGAAACATCAATATCAGTGTGTTATGAGCAGTCTTAGTGATGTGAGGATAAATAACAAATTCTAACTCCAGTTGGGCTCCTGGACCCTAATGGGCAGAGCCAGATTTGAAAGGATAAAGGATTGCAAAGAGGAACTGGACAGGGACAGTGATTCTGAATTTGCCGTGAAGGAACATGGTTAGATGGGAGACGAAGCTTGGAGCGCATCCAGCTCACCTGAAGTTGAACCTGGGCTAGATGGGGTCATGGCAGCGCTAAAGGAGTTGATTAAATCAAGGTGTTGGCCGTTAGTGTGAAGAGGAAGAACCTGTGAACAGTTAGGCGGCTTCAGCGTTTGCCCCTCGATTAAATGTGTGGCCAATTCTTATTTGGAAGTGGAAACATGACTACTGTCAATCTGGGTATTCAGTATGTTTTTTTCTTATTTTTTTGTTGTTGCCCTTCAATTTATTTTCACAGGCATATTGTTTTCTTCGTGTGTTTTTTTCAGTATGTTTTTTAAAGATAAATGTATTCACCAACATTTTTTTAAAGTATAATTGAGTCTGAGAGGCCTTCAGAATGCAATGCCTTAGTCCCCTTTTGATCAATAAATACCCCAGTGGAGACATTTATTTATTTATTATGTAAACAAATTGGTTTTTAGGGACAGAAACATTGACCTGCACCCGCCCATGCATTGGTTGCTAAAACCCAACTCCTTAGAGCGAGCAGAAGGCGCGGGGCCTTCAGCCCAATAGGGAGGCGCCGGGCGCGGGGCGGCCCGTTTCCCTGCGCGCGCCCTTTAAGGCCCGCGCGCGGCGCGTGGCCGCAGTGGGTGCCCGCGGAGCTACGAGGCAGCGTGGCCATGGACGTGGGCGCGGACGAGTTCGAGCAGAACCTCCCTCTGCTGCAGGAGCTGGTCCAGGGCGCGGACTTCCTGGGTAAGGTCCGCGGTTCCGGGCCTGGTCGCTGGGCCCTCTGCGCTGGGGGAGCCTGCGGAGGGGGTGGCGGGGGTGGCGGGGGTGGGGCGGGGCGGGGAGGTGAGGCCCGGCAGGGGCAGCCGCTAGGCTAGGCCAGGCCGTGGAGGCTCAGGGAGGGCCCCTTCGAGGGACAGGTTCCTCCTCGGCCTGGGGCGTCCAGCCGCAGTTACCCCCTGGCCCACGGTGTTCCGGGCGGAACCGCGCCGCGGGACCCGGGTGGCCTGGCCTGGCCTTGCTTTGGCTCCCTCCGTTTTCCCTTTGAACCCACCTGGCTTCTTGAGCACAAAGGTGAGCCAAGCACTTTGCCACCTGCAGCATTTACAGTCATTTTCCAGCATGAACCGCGGTGGCACTGGTCTGCGCCTGGGGACTCCTGTCTTTTTTTTTTTTTTAAATATATGTATATATATTTTTTATTGATTTCAGAGAGGAAGGGAGAGGAAGAGAGAGGTAGAAACATCAATGATGAGAGGGAATCATTGATTGGCTGCCTCCTGCACATTGGACGGAGCCCGCAACCCAGGCATAGTGCCCTTGATTGGAATTGAACCTGGGACCCTTCCATCCATAGGCCGACGCTCTATCCACTGAGCCAAACCAGCTAGGGCAGTGGTCGGCAAACTCATTAGTCAACAGAGCCAAACATCAACAGCACAATGATTGAAATTTCTTTTGAGAGCCAAATTTTTTAAACTGAAACTCTATAGGTAGGTACATTGTTATTAACTTACTTAAGGTACTCCTAAGGCTTAGGAAGAGCCACACTCAAGGGGCCAAAGAGCCGCATGTGCCTCGCGAGGCGCAGTTTGCTGACCATGGAGCTAGGGCCTGGGACTCTTGTCTTTTTTGCCTTCCCGGCAGGTCTGGACATAGAGTTCACGGGCCTTCGCACTAACCTGTCCGGGTCCCAGCAGATCAGGTAAAGCTAAAGCTGCCTTAGAGTCGAGCTAGAGAGGCGCTCACCTGTGCCCCTCGGGTGGCATCCTGGCCATACCAGTCTGGTTTCTCAGCAGGCACCCATTGGCGCTGGGCGGGCAGGATAATGTGTTGTGTGAGGCTCTGGGGACCTGGCCTCCACCCACTAAATGCTGGTAGTGTTCCCCATCAGTGGTTGAGAGGTGCTGACCCAGCGCGAGGCTGGGCGCCTTGATGCCATCTCACGGCCTATGGAATGAGATGCCCGTTTTTTCACAGTCTTTTTGACTTGCCATCGGAGTGGTACCTAAAGACCCGTCGGAGTGTTCAGCAATTTACAATCTGTCAGATTGGTGAGTGTGATCATGAGTTACTAGGAGAGCTACTTTTATTGTCTTCCTGTTCGTACTGATCAGACAGCTTGGACACCTTTCAAAGGGCCTGGCTATCACCTTTTGTGCTTGTTTGGTTTTTGGTCGTGTTATGCCTGTCGGACCTTACACTTTGGGACAAGCGGAAGTTGACTTAGCAGCACTGTTTCATGCCTAACTAAATCAACATTAAGGAACCTGAACCTTCTTTCAAGGAAAAATGTGTATGATTTTTCTTGAGAGAAAACTTACATAAACAAGGTCACACTGGGCACATTTTGTTCTGCATCTTTTTGTTTTCACTTAGGGCAGCGGTTCTCAACCTGTGGGTCGCGCCCCCTGTGGCGGTCGAACGACCCTTTCACAGGGGTCGCCTAAGACCATCCTGCATATCAGATATTTACATGACGATTCATAACTGTAGCAACATTACAGTTAGGAGGTAGCAACGAAAATAATTTTATGGTTGGGGGTAAAAACATGAGGAACTCTTTTAAAGGGCCAGAAGGTTGAGAACCACTGACAGGGGTGTAGAGCTCAGGCTGTATCAGCACACGCAGACCTCTTGTTCATCTTTAACAATTGTACTCCAAACTATGAATGTATCCATTGACTCAGTCGCCTACTGATGCATGCTTTGATTAGCATTTGTGTCTGATAAAACAAGGTTGCCCTGACTAGCTGAGTATTTGTACATCACTTTTGTGAGTATATGTTATACTAAGTATGCGGGGTACTTCCGCAGTGGAATTGCAGAGTTAAAGAGGATGTGTTAAAGTCTCGTGTGGTGCCAACCTGTTCCTCCTCCTACCAGCCATCCACAAGATGACAGTGACTCCCACTGACACCGTGAATGTGCCTGCTCCCGTCCCTCACTCTGGCTGTTATCACTCTTAAATGGCTGTTGCTCACCGAGTGGAGGAAAATGATGTGCTTGTTATTCTGATGGACATGATTAATACAGAGTCAACAAACTCTTCTGTAAAGGCCACACAGTAAATCTGTTCGGTTTTACCGGCCATGTGGTCTGTTACACTACTCAGTTCTGCCATTGCTGATGGAAATCAGCCACAGACAGTATATACATGAATGAGCATGGCTGTATTCCAATAAAACTTTATTTATAAAAACAGGCCTGGACAGATTTTACTGACCCTTGCTTGTCCTGTGAATGATGGTGAACATCTCTGTGTGTGTGTTGCTGTCTCCTTGTCCTTTGCTAATTCTACTGTGGTTGTTTAACTTGATGGTAAGGCCTCTTTGAAAAGTATGGGAAATAGATCTGTTTCTATTGTTTTCCCCCTACTCGGAAGTCCTTTTCACTTTGTGAACGGTCTTTTTAACAATGCAGACATTTGAAGGCAATTACGTATATACATCTTCATGGTTTGGGGTGTTCCCTCTGGTTAGTTTTAAAACTATAAACATGTCGCTTTAACGTCTGTGTTTGAAGAACCGTTCACAATTATGTTTGAGTAATTTCAGTGTGAATTACAATTTGACCAGGTTGGCGTTTTGGATCTGTCTTTTCTTCCTCTCCTTCTGCTCCTCCTGTTCCTCCTGCCCCTCCTCCTTTTTTTTATGAGCTTATCCTCTTCTAAAGCCCCTGCAGTATTTCTGGATTCAAAGCACTGTTCAAACGTTTTGTTTTGGTAGTTAACTTCTGGTAGCTCTTTGGTGCTCACCCCCCTGCTATTCTTCTAGGACTGTCTGTGTTTTCCAGTGTCGAAGGCGAGTCGAACAGGTACGTATAAAGACGTTTGCATGACACCTGGCTCTTGCCCAGTGATCGTCTCCACCTCCTCTCCCCAAATTCTGCTTCAGGCTCTCAGCCACGTTGGCCCCGGACGCCCCATCCTCTCCCCTGCTTCTGTGCCCTGCACCTGCTCTCTCCCCTGCAGACTCGGCTTGTCCTTCAAGTCTCTGGAAGCAACACCTTTTCTGGGGGCCTTTCCTGACACCTGCCCTGCACCTTCATCGCTCCTTTCCCTGTTGCCATGGCGTCCTGCATGGGCCTCCAGGGTGGCAGTGAACACAGTGTTACCTCGAGGGGAGGGCGAGGCAGCTCAGGCACCACCGGTCAGAGACGATGGGATGGCGGTGCCGTGGGCTCAGGAAGGGGGGGAGGGGAGGGCAGGTCCTGCTCTTCAAGGGCAGGGTCTCTGCCTCTCTTCATGGACCCCCTCACCCCCGGGGCCAGTCACAGGACTGGGAACAGCCGACATCCATTTGCTTCTCAGGGAAAAGGAGCCCACCCGAAGCCTGCTCCGAGCCAGAGTTTTGAAAATGGGTTCGGCTTCTCCTCCTCATGCTCACGTTCTTTTGTAGGTACATAGCCCATTCCTGTAACTTCTTTCTCTTCCCTACGACGTTTGGGATTCTGGACTCGGAATTCTCTTTCCAGGCCTCTAGCGTACAGTTTCTGAATCAGTATGGCTTCGACTATAACAAGGTGCGCCCCGGGGGAGGGAGACGGGGTTCGGGAGGGTCTCTGGTCCCCTTTCCTTCCCGTTCACGTCCACGTGAAACCGGACGAGGGCGGGTTCTTTTCGCTCTGCTCCCCACGCAGAGGGTGGCTCCGCCGGCCAGCCTCCTGCTTCTCTTCCTGTCTTTAGTTTCTCAAACATGGAATCCCCTACATGAACGAAGAGCAGGAGAAGCAAATCAAACACAGCATCCTGACTGGGAACTGGAGAGTCCGCAGGTACAGCCACGCTCGGGTGCCTGGTGGGGTTCTCCGGGGCTGGGTTTGCGGGCCTCCGGAGTGTGGTGACCTCGCGCGTCCCCTAAGCTGGGGAGGCATCTGGCCTGCGCTCAGTCGCACATCACTGCTCCTAGTGCTGGCGAACCCATCCCCACGCCAAGCAGGCAGCCTCTCCGCCCCGAGTGGGAGCTCAGGGCTTCAGATGAAGGGAGAAGGCAAAGAGCCTTAACTTGGTGCTCTGAGCAGGACCTGCCCTCAGGGCTGTGGGGACACGGCTCTGTGGGACTCACTGCGGATGGTGTGTTGGCCTTCAGTGTGACCTTGGGAGTTTTTAGGGAGACCCTGACCAAGCTGGTCACATACCTCAACTTGGACGGACATGTCCCCTGAGGGCAGGGCTTCTGCCCTTCCCCCTCGGCCCCCAGTGCCAGCTGTCATCCTTGAGTCCTGCCCTCCTGCAGAGCGGGGTTGGGGGTGGCAGCATGTGTAGTGGAAGGAGCAGCCCCCGGGCCCGGGCAGGCCCTGTGTCAGTTCCCTGGTTTTGAACAAACTGTTTAAGCTCCTTGGGCTTCAGGTTCATGCCTTTGACAGCTGTTAACCCTGCAGAATGAGGAGTCATCAGTGGGTCCAGGTCGTTGTCTTATGTGATGTTGGAGTTTCTTGCTTTTTTAAAAAATTTTACTCTTTTTGTGGTTTTCACATAAAAATGTAGCTTTTTGTAAGAGAAAAAAAAACATGTGAAATTTGAGCCTTCTGTTCTTTTCATGAAAAGGCTTTCTGTACCTCAAATAACATGATGTTCTTCTTTGCTAAGACAGGAGGAGATGTGCTCGCAGAGTTCCTGTCTCCTCCTCACTCCACCAGATGGTGCTTCCTCCCCTCGGAGCGCTGAGTGAGGCAGCCAGGCCTCCTCCCGGGGCCGGGGCCGGGCAGCCAGGGACGGCGCAGTCCCCTGTGCACGCGTGGGCGGGGCCTGCCGAGCGCCTGTCCTGCTGCAGAGCCGCTCGGAAAACAAATGGTCTTTTCCGGGTGCATTTTCTTGCCAGGATCACAGCGTTAACACTGGGGGCTCAGGAGCCGCTCCCAGGTTCACACCGTCTCGCGGTTCTGGAGGGTTCCTCCAACGTCCCCCCTTCCTGTGCCCATTCTCAGTTCCCTGGACAAAGACCAAATGAAGGCGGTGATCGATGAGGTGACTCGGTGGCTGCACCTGGCGGAGGAAGGCGACTGGATGACGCTCCCTGGTATCGCTGGTAGGCAGGCGGCGTCGGTCCAGTGGTCACTCACGCACCCTCCTCTCCCCAGCCGGGCACTGGCTCAGGGTCTCGGTGGAGAGAGGAAGCTCTATCCTCAGTTCCGAGGTGAAGGCTGTTGGACTTTCTGAATGTTAAGGTGGAGGAAGGGAAGTTCCGCCTTGGAGCCCAGCCCTGAGTGTCCTGTGTCCCCGTGTTCACTCTGATCCTGGAGTTCCCCCCACTGTGAGAGTGCAACCCCAGTGAACATGCCCTGATCCGTGGACCCCGGGGTCTCAGGCCCTTTCCAAGGGGTCCGTGAGGTCAAAAGTATTCGGCTGTCACTTGCCGCTGTCAGGTGCCATCTGCACTGATGGCATCGAAGCACAGGTGGGCGGACCTGTCAGCACCTGGCACAGGTGAAGGCATGCCGTCCTCATGCTAGGCATCAGTGGATTCTGTCACCAGTTACTCTCAGTTTTATTTTTTAAAAATATATTTTATTTATTTTTTTACAAAGAGGAAGGGAGAGGGATAGAGAGTTAGAAAAACATCGATCAGCTGCCTCCTGAACACCCCCTACTGGGGATGTGCCCACAACCAAGGTACATGCCCTTGACCAGAATCGAACCTGGGACCTTTCAGTCTGCAGACCGACGCTCTATCCACTGGGCCAAACCCGTTAGGGCTACTCTCAGTTTTAAAAAATTCAATTTTGCCCTGGCCAGTGTGGCTCAGTTGGTTGGAGTGTTGTCCTGCACATCGAAGGGTCGCGGGCTAGAGTCCTGGTCAGGCAACATACCTTGGGGGTGGGTTCAGGCTCCAGTTTGGGCGCGTACGAGAGGCAACCGATTGGCCTCCCTCCCTCCCTCCCTCCCTCCCTCCCTCCCTCCCTCCCTCCCTCCCTTTCTTTCTGTAAAATCAATGAATATATCCTCAAGTGAGGATTTTAAAAAATCAAATTTTACTTACTCTCCTTGGCAAAGCAGTAATAATTCTTCATTTTATTAAATCTCCATCTTTGCTCATCTTTTTAAACATTCTGTGTGTCCAGATGCACATGTCGAGAAGTCGGTACGCATTAGACGTTGCTGCCGCCTACGACACTGCAGGGCCTGTCTTGAGGAAAAGAACCTGTGCACGTTTTGAGTTGAGAGCTGAATTAGCAGCTTTTTTATTTTCTTTCATGGAATATTATTTTTTCTTAAAGAACCGAATGTAGTTATTTTGACGAGGGTATTTTTAATCATATTGTCAAATGAAAAACAGTGAGCCTGTCTCTTCGCGGAGAATAACTGACAGTCTTTGTGGGGCCACGCTGGGGTTTCCGTCAGACACTGGAAGTTTGGAAAACTTGAGTCTGCAGCGCACGGTTGCCAGCGTCCCAGGCCTGAGGCCTTCCTGTGGGGCTGCGGCCGCGTAGGCAAGGCCTCCCGTTGCTGTTCTGCAGTGACATGTGTGAGCCTGGGAAGATCTGCGCCACCCTGGTCCCTGGTCCCCGCGCGTGGGCCTTGGGCTTGGGCGCCCTTTCCCATCTGCCGGGCCTCTCAGCTCCTGTTCCCTCGGCCCCTCTCGAGGGGAGGCGGAGAGGTGGCCCAGGCCGCGGGGGTCTGTGTGAGCTGTGTCTCCTTGCTGTAGGCTTCCAGGCCTTCGAGGTCCAGCTGGTGCTGAGGCAGGCCCTCCCGGACATCTGGACGGTGCTGAGAGACCAGGCGGTGAGTCCTCCCCTGGAGGGCACCTGAGCCCCCCGTCCTCTCTCTCCTCGGCCAAAGCGGCCTCTGAGAAATGTGTCTGTCTGTCTCTTTTTGTCCCTCTCCGCCTCTTCCCCCTCCCCTTTGAGATGAAGGACCTGGCCCGTGGCAGCGCTGCCAGGACTGGGGAACTGTCTCCTTTCATCCCAGGTGATAGTGAAGAAGGTGAGCAGGCAGCACCGCTGGTACCTCCAGAACACCTCCTCCGACCGAGAGAGCTGCTGGAAGGAGAAGATCCTGCTCTCCGCCAGGGGCTTCTCTGTGTTTTTCCAGATGCTGGTGAAAGCCCAGAAGGTAGGAAAGGTTCTCTCTCCCTAGCCGGTTTGGCTCAGTGGATAGCGTGTTGGCCTGCGGACTGAAGGGTCCCAGGTTCCATTCTGGTCAAGGGCATGTACCTTGGTTGCGGGCACTTCCCCAGTAGGAGGTGTGCAGGAGGCAGCTGATCGGTGTTTCTGACTCTCTATCCCTCTCCCTTCCTCTCTGTAAAAGACCAATAAAATATATTTTAACAAAAAAAAGAAAGTCTCTCTCTTCTGGGTCTGCAGTGGCCTCTCTCTCTGGCCGTGGCACTGCTGGGCTCCGACAGGGAGATCTTGAGATGAGTGGTTCCTCCCTGTTGAGAATTGAGAACTGGCTGTGCGGATCTGACTGGCACCAAAGCATGGTGGGTAGACTGGAAGAGAGACTGTCCGTAGGCATTTCAGCACTGATTGACCTAAAACTCCCGGGAAGGAGTGCTTCTCTGCTTCCCAGTTTGGGTCCCAGTGTGGCCGGCCTCAGGCTCCCCCTGCTCACTGCTTTTCTCCTTTTCCGGGAGGGAGAGGAGGGTGGCGATGGGATGGCCACGTGGTCAGGATGCAGTGGGTTCTGCAGCTTCACCCTTTGCAAGCGACCATTGGTCTGCGGCGCCCGTTCCTCTCCTTCGTAAAGCTTCCTTTTCCTCCCTGTCGCTTTCCTCCAAGCAGCCCTTGGTGGGACATAACATGCTGATGGACCTGCTGCATCTGCATGAGAAGTTCTTCAGGCCCCTCCCAGGTAGGCCCGCCTGGTGCTCTCCTTCCCTTGATCCTAGTTCGCCGCCCGGAGGGGCGTTGGCCCAGAATCCTGCTCTCCTAGGAGCACCCGCACGCGCACCCCTCCCCAGGGGCTGTGATGAGGTGCCGTGGGTGAGAGGTAGCCTGGCTTCACAGAGGGAGGCCAGTGGTGAAGGGCCTAACACTGGAAAGCCACCTGTCAGGCAGATGTGATGTTAGAACGCATGGCACCAACAGGAAAAGAAGGAACGCAGTTAGTTGCCTTGGGGAGCAGAAATGTAAGGGGGCAGGAGAGCCGGGGGGGGGGGGGTGTTTGTGTTTGTGTGAAACCTGTTTAAACTCCATGCAGGTGTAATTTTGATGAGCATACCAAGTTAGAAATCGTTATCAGGGCGCGACCCTCATAATGTTTCTAGTGGGTTTTCCCTGGACAGTCGTTTACAAATGCTGATTCCCAGCAACACCGCTTCCCCCTTTTCCCAGTGGCTAGAACTTTGCCAGCTCCATGGAGCAGCACTTCCTGGGAAACCGTTTGGCTTTTGCTGTTGCAAACGGTGGCGGCGGCTGGGATTGAGATTGAGAAACCCTTCACGAGCAGGAATGAGGGTCTCCTCTGTCTCTCTTTCGTTTTACTCATTAACCAGTGGTGACAAGTGAGGTGGAAGAACTCTCCTTCCCATTTTGCCAACAAACTCACCTCTGCCCGTCTGGGTCTCTCCTTCAGAAAGCTACCACCAGTTCAAGCGCAACATCCACAGCCTCTTTCCCGTCCTCCTTGACACCAAGAATGTGACCAAGGACATATGGAAGGTAAAGACGCACCTGCCTCAGGCTAAGGGCTGCTCTATCCCAGCAGCACAGCCCTCTCCCTCTCCACAAAGTGTTCCTTGAACCCTTTCCTCATAGTTTACAGCCAGCATCGCTTTCCTTCTGGGCTCTAGCCCCTCCGGGTCATAGTAGCTTCCAGTGACCCTTGCGTCCCTCCCTCACGCTCCCGTGTGTTGACTTACTTGTGTCCAGTTGCTGTGCTTGTTTAGATCCGACAGCAGCAGTTGACACATGCCTGGTATTTGCACCATGCTTAAAGGGCATGGGGTGGGGGCCCTCTTGAAAAATCTTGAGGAAAACATCTCTATTGAGCCTTAGCCTTAAGGTCCTGGGTTTTCAACCCGACAGCCCGTTAGAACCACCTGGAGCTAAGTCCTGACACCTGGCCCTACCGTCAGCTCCTCTGGTTGGGGGAGGCGGGGTGGATTTCTGAGGCTCTCAGGTGACTTCTGTTGTGCATTTGGAGGGAAGTGCCCAATTGGTTTAAATGCAGTTAAGAAGTTAAACTGAGGCCCAGGCGTGGCTCTGTGGTTGAGTGTTGACCTATGAACCATGAGGTCACGATTTAATTCCTGGTCAGGGCACATGCCTGGATTGCGGGCTCGATCCCCAGTGTGGGACATGCAGGAGGCAGCTGCTCAATGATTCTCTCTCATCATTGATGTTTCTCTCTCTCTCTCTCTCTCTTCCTCTCTGAAATCAATAAAAATATATATATTTTTTAAATACATCTTATTGATTTTTTACAGAGAGGAAGGGAGAGTGGATAGAGAGTTAGAAACATCGATCAGCTGCCTCCTGCACACCCCTCACTGGAGATGTGCCCACAACCAAGGTACATGCCCTTGACGAATCGAACCTGGGACCCTTCAGTCTGCAGGCCAATGCTCTATCCATTGAGCCAAACTGGTCAGGGCTAAAAATATTTTTTTAAATAAAAGTTAAGTTAAACTGAGTAACAAAGATAGAGGAAATATATATATATATATGTGTATATATATATTCATTTACATATATATATATATATATACACACACACACACATATATATATATTAGAGGCCCTATGCACGGAATTCGTGCAAGAGTAGGCCTTCCTTCCCCTGGCTGCTGGCAATAGTTTCACTCTGGCACCGGGACCTGGGCTTCCCTGGCAGCTCCGGCTTTGTCTGGAAGCTCGTCTGGAAGGACGTCTGGTTAAATTAGCATATTATGCTTTTATTATTTTATATATTTATATATATGTATTTGCCTGGAGATGCATGCTTTTTGTAGCTCACATATCTCAGCCCTGATGGTGTTTGTGATGCTGCTGGTCTCCAGGTCACTGTCGTCCTAGGAGTGAGAGGGTGGGGGTGGGGCTCATCTCAGGGACCCAGCGGTGCTCCTTTCCAGGCCCGCGGTCCTTGCCATGCCTGGTCCCACGTGTGTGCCCTGGCCTGGGGCTGATGCCTTGGAGTCTGAGTTCCTAGAAGCCCGTAAGCACTTGTCTTTGAAGGAAGACGGGATGAGCTGTGTCTGTGGCAGCTTTTGCTCGCTTAGGTGATTGGGGCCCAGAGGGACCCAGGCCCAGGCCATAGGAGCCCTGGCATCCGAAATAAGGAGGGGATGTCTGAAGAGAAAGAAGAGGTGGTGGGAATTGGCATTTTTTCCGGGTCATTTCAGTGACCATTTGACAGCACCTGAAGCAGATAATAAACCAAAGCAAACCCTTCCTTCCCCTCGTGTGTTCTCCGTGACGGCAGGACCTGAATTTCCCGAGGGTTTCCAATCTCTCCGAGGTGCACGAAGTCCTGAGCAGGTGCGGAGCCGTCGTCCGGAGCTGCGCTGGGCGGTTTGGCTCCCAGGACACGTCGGCCATGCCGAGACACTTACCACCGGGGGTGCCACTGACGCCTGGGAGCGAGGCCAGGACGCACCGGAGGCCCCGGCCCAGCGCCCTCCCGCCCGGTCGATGTTCCTGGTGCTGAGGTCGAGGAACTCCGTTCTCGAGGGAGGGGCTGGGCCCATCGTCAGCACAGCTGTTGGACGATGTGGTGCTTCCTGTGGGCCAGGCCTTCAGTTCTCCTTTGAGCTGCGTGAGAACAGGGTGGTTTGGTGTTTCTTGGGAACCTGGCATTTCTCTCGGGCCTAAAGCAGTGCCAGGCCTAGTAGGTGCACATTCAGCATTGTATGTGGGTGCCTGGTCAGGGCTCAGCTGCTGGCCGTGCGGGATGTGGGTGTGGTCATCTCTGTTTTTCCTGAAGACCCAGGACAGCCAGCCCCCGGCAGGGCCGGTGTGAGTTCATGTGGCGCCCGGGCTCAGGTGAAGGGGCCGCGGAGCACGCTGTTCTCTACCGTCCCGTGGCCGCGCTCCCAAGGCCGTATTTGCCCGGGCCTGGTCCCTGCCTTTTTCTCGTTCCCTTAGAGGTGTCTCGGGGCTGAGGACAGTTTTATTCATATGAACCTGAGGCGGCGGGAGGAGAAGCAGAGGGACTGTCCTCAGCGAATGGTCTTTATCCTCTTCTCTCCTGACAGTGACTTGAATCCCACCAAGGACTCTGGGCCAGTGATCATTCACGCCAGCAAGTGCGAGAGATACGGTATGTGCCGCGGTGCGGGCTCCTCACAGCTGGCAAAGCACCGAGGGCTAGAGCTCAGGCGGGGCCCTGGCGGCAGGGGTGTTCTCCACGGTGTCCCGGGCTGTGCCCCCCGGAACCCCTCGCTTGAAAGGAGCCATCCCGGCGGCACCCGAGGCCCTGGGTGGGGGCGTCTGCTCCCCTTGGCCATGGTGAGTCGCCTGTAGGGGGGCTCTCGGCTCTCCACTGCCTCCTCCTGTGGGTGCTCATGGGTCGTGGTGGGGGGGGGCGCCGTGAGGATTGGAGGTGAGTGTCGGGGGAGAAGCGTGCTCAGGTCTCTGGAGGAAGGAGGTGGAGGCTGTGTGTGCACGGCCAATGCCCGTGTAGAATTGGGGTGGGGGCGGGGTGGTTCACAGCCCACGCGTGTGATGCTAGGTGGGGGGAGCCTCCTTTTCCAGGTGGTTCTAACCGCTGCTTGACTCTCTCCTGCCTCCGGAACTCGCCTCAGCTGAGACAAAGTACCCCCACGAAGCAGCATACGACGCCTTCCTCTGCGGATCAGGTGGGTCGCTGTCCCTTTAAAGGGAGACTGGCCTGACTGGTGTGGCTCATCGGCCTAGGAACCAGGAGGTCAGGGTTCCGGTCAGGGCACAGGCTCAGGTTGTGGGCTCGGTCCCCAGTAGGGGGCGTGTAGGAGGCGGCCAATCAGTGATTCTCTCTCATTGTTGATGTTTCCGTCTCTCTCTCTCCCTTCCTCTCTGAAACCAATACAAATACTTATTTTTTTTTTAAATATATTTTATTGATTTTTTACAGAGAGGAAGGGAGAGAGAGATAGAGAGTTAGAAACATCGATGGGAGAGAAACATCGATCAGCTGCCTCCTGCACATCTCCCACTGGGGATGTGCCCGCAACCCAGGCACATGCCCTTGACCGGAATCGAACCTGGGACCCCTCAGTCCGCAGGCCGACGCTCTATCCACTGAGCCAAACCGGCTTCGGCACAAATACTTTTTAAAAAAATAAAAGACTAGTCTTGGTTACCCTGGCTGTGGCTCAGTGGTTAGAGCACCAGCTGTGCACGCAAAGGTCTCGGGTTCGATTCCCAGTCCAGTGCATGTACTTGGGTTGCAGGTTTAATCCCTGGCCCCGGTCAGGTGTATGTGGGATGCAACTAACCACTGTGTCTCCCTCACGTGAATGTTTCTCTCTCTCCTCCTCCCTCCCATCCACTGTCTCTCAACAATCAGAGGAAAAACATGCTCTGGTGAAGATCAACAAACAATAAATAAGTAAAGGAGGCTCATGCTTTGTGCGTGCTAACCCCTGCCATCCCGTGCATTCCCAGTGGGTGGCACATAACGGGGAAAAGGCATGCGTCCGCATGTGTGACCAGGTGGTCAGGTTCAGCCCGACGTCTTCCGTTTCTGCTTTCCCCCCAGTTCTTCTGAAAGTGGCGCACTTGCTCCTGTGGAGAGTGCACGGGTGAGTGCCCTGCCTTTCCTCCCGCGTTAGCCTCGCTGTGGGCCAGGACCTCCCAAAGAAGGGAGGGCGCATGCGGAATGTCACTGTGGATGCAGTCCCCGACGGGTAGCAGTCCTTTGCCCACACCCGCCCCCGTGCTGGCCCCGGCCCTCGGGCCTCCTGTCGGGCGCTGGGAAGACCCGTGTGTCAGGAGCCACGGCCGTGGGGTCCGGCTTAGGTTCTCACCTGCCCCCGTGCCTCTCAGCGGCTGGGCTGGCTTCTCTGTCACCACGTTTCTCATAACCATGCAGATCACAGCCAGGTAGGAGGCGGATGTTCAGGTCAGTCAAGGACACGTCCTTGGGGTCCACACAGGCCGCGGAAGGGCACAGGGGGAGATGCCTGATCCCCAGGCTGGAGGCCTGCACTTCCTGGGGCAGCATCGTCCCTGAGGTCTGCAGTGCCAGCCCACGGGCACCGGCCCACACCTGAAATTTACCTCCCGTCGCCCCGTCCGTCCGTCCGTCCATGGCTCAGGGGGACTCGGCACAATTGTCACGTGTTCTCTGTGGCTGACTTGGAGATAATTGTGGAGTCATCTGTTCAGCTGGGTTTGGCCTATGTCAGTCCATTTTAGTAACAGATACTGTGCACAGAAATCTACAGCCTATAGCTGTGAGGCTCACAACTTCAACAAGAAACCTGCCACCCCACCTCCCTCCTTCCTGTGTGTTGATGGCGCCTGAGTGCCCACAGGGAGGTTCGTGTGCCAGCGGCGGAGGCAGCCCCCTGCAGAGACGTCCCTAGTGCCCGGCGCCTGGGCCTTACAGCCTTGTTCCTATTGCTCCTCAAGCCCTACAGCCGTCGGGGCTCGAGAAGTGCGGCAGTGGCCCTCTGCCCGCTCCGCAGCCTGCAGTCTGCCTCTGGGACCTATGCTTGGGGGCGAGGCCAGGTCTGGACGGAGGCGGGGCTGGTGGTGGAGTGAGGTGGTGGGAAGAGGGACGCCACGCTGAGTAGAGGGAGTTGTCGCGTCCAGGGATGATAAGGTCACCGTCTGACCAGTGGCCTCCCTCTCATTCTCCAAGCCCTTTTGCTAATGTTGGTCAGCAGAGGGATCGTCAGCAAACTGTCACCAGCAGACGGTGACCCCTGGAAGCTCTGGCGTGGGCCCTGAGGGACCTTTCTGGAGTTGGTGGGGGGGCATGGGTGGGGGGAGCACCAACCTGAGCCCAGGGCTTGTGGGGGGAGAGGGGAGTTGTCCCCGAGCCGCAGCCTCGGCCGAGGCGTGTGCATGGCGCCAGGTGCTGAGTGCCCGGGGGCTCTGTCCATGCAGGGCCGGCCCCACCCCGGAGCCCTCCTTCCCCCGGTACCTGGACGTGCTGGCCCCCTACGTGAACCAGGTGAACCTGATCCGCGCCGGGGTCCCCAAGATCGTGAGTACGGTCCCGTCACTCCTCCCTGGTCAAAGGCTGCCCCGGGAGGTGGCCAGGTCCTGGGGCGTCTGAGGGGGGCCCTGATAACAACCAAAGTCAGAGTTGAAGCGGGTGTCGGACCCGCTGTGTCCTCCTCGCCCTCCCTCTCCCGCCCCAGAAGGAGCTCTTCCCAGTTTCTCTGAGGATTTCCAGACTGGGTGGGTCGTCAGGAGGGATGGTGGGAGTCTCCGTCTGTCCTGTCTTCCAGAACTTCTCTGGCCCAGATTATCCCAGTATCCGGCCCCCCATCCTCGTCCTCAGCGTCCGGAGGTGGCCGGGGGTCACCGAGCAGCAGATCTATCGCGAGTTCCAGAGTCTCTGCAAATTCGACGTCCGGCGACTCACGCGGAACCAGTTCCTGCTCTTGACCAACAAGTTCAAGGAGTAGGTGCCCTGGGTCTCGGCCGCACTGGTCCTGTCTCCTCCGGCCACCCCTCTCCTCGCTCAGAGCCGCAGGTGCGCGGCCTGCCTGACCGAGCCGTCTCCCACAGCGCCCGGAGCGTCCTGAGGGAGTACCGGGGCCACCCCACGCTGCAGGTGTCGCTGTACCGGTACTGGAGGCACTCCCCGGACGTCCGCTGCCTGCTGCAGTAAGTCCCTGCCCGCCGCCCGCCCGTCCTGTGCGCCCGCTCGGGCTGGGCGAGCACAGCTCCGTACTGGGGTGTCCTAAGGCGTGGCTGACCAGTGTGGTGAACTGAACGGCGTTCTGTAACGTTGTGTCTGTTTGTTTGTTTTTCGCTAATCCTCACCCGAGGATGTTTTCCACTGACTTTAGAGAGAGTGGAAGGAAGAGGGAGAGACAGAGAGAGAAACATCGATGTGAGAGAGACACATCGATTGGTTGCCTCCCACACACACCCGGACTAGGGCCAGGAATCAAGCCTGCAACCGAGGAACGTGCCCTTGACCGGAATGGAACCCAGGACCCTTCGGTCCTCAAGCCGATGCTCTATCCACTGAACCAAACTGGCCAGGGCTCTTCTGTAATGTTTGACGTGCTTATTGGGCGTCCACTGTATGCGGCACCATCGCAGGCCCCGTTCTCATGGGGCTCACGCTGAGCGGGAGGTAACCAGTAAGGGAGGGGACTGCCCCTTCTGCTAGTGACAAGAGCAGTTCAGGGGGGCGAGTGGAGGGAGTGCTGTTGAAGGAGAGGATGGAGGCCCTGTGCCCCGGGCAGAGGGGCCACAGCGCGAGGCCTCTGGCGGGACGTGCCTGGGGTGCCCTGGGCAGAGGCCACCGTGCTGGGAATGAACAAGTGAGGAGACGAGACTGCACGGGCCGTGGGTGAGGGCTGCGGAGAAACTGGCTCGCAGGGGTTTGGAGCAGAGGCGTGTGCGTGGGTCTGCGGAGACACGGGGGGCCCGGGCCTGGGAGGAAGTCTGGACCCCGGTCACCCGGCTGTAGCTTGGACTGCTCCGTGGCCGCGTGGGGGTGGGGCACGGACAGACAGCAGAGGCAAGTTCGAGTCCAGAGCTTGTGGCTGGAGCATCTGGAGAGATGGAGATGCATTAATGTGCTCTGTAAGGACTCTGGCCGGCTGGTTCGAGCCAGATCTGTAGAAATGCGGTTGAAGCAGGACATTGGGCCTGGGCTCCGTTCTCCTGTGTCAGCCTCGGGTGTAAATCGGCAGGAAAAGTGACTGCTCCGTGTCCCAGAGACGAGTGCGCGGGGGCGTGGACCGCGGTGGGAGGAAAAAGAACATTTTTGCCAACAAAGTCGGGGAGAACAGGGCGAGCCTGTGTCAGAGCTTTCAAACCTGCCGACTGGCCACACACACACGCCCTCGCCCCTGCTGTGGACCCAATGACCCGTGTCCTGGTGTGTCCTTGTCTTGCAGAGTCTGTGGCATAGTCACCGCCTGGGCCCTTCTCACGTTTCTCCTGGGGCGACCCGGCCCCTGACGCCGCCCGAGCCCTGCCGCTCCTGTCTCTGCGCCTCTCCGGGAGGCCAGCCGTTTGTGTTCGTGGGAATCCTATTCTACTTGCCAATGGACCGGCCTGGTCATTGCGAAGGATTTCGTTATGTTTTGAGCAAGAAATTCTGTAAATGTTATCAATGATACAGACATCCTTGGGCGGCTCTCCCTCCGGGAGCGTGCCCACCCCTCCCCCCCTCCCCTCGCAGGCGTCTCACCTTTACCGTCTCTCCCCTCAGCTCCCAGGGCCTTCTTTGCTGTAACTTGTTTCCTCAGCCTGTTTCTTCTATATATATATAGCTCAGTTCTTCTAGCTCTGAGACTTTCTAAATAAGCTTTCTCTTATTTAAAAACAGAAGGGGGAGGGGGGGCTTGGCCTGGTGGCTCAGTTGGTTGGACATCGTCCTGTGCACCAAAAAGTTGCTGGTTTGATTCCTGGTCAGGGCACCTGCCGGGTTTGCAGGCTCAATCCCCGGTAGGTGGCGTGTAGGAGGCAGCGATCAATGTTTCATTCTTACACTGATCTCTCTCTCTCTCTCTCTCTCTCTCTCTCTCTCTTCCTCCCTCCCCCTTCCTCCCTCCCTCCCTTCCTCTCTCAGAATCAATAAAAATATTTTTAAAAATACTGAGCTATCTTGATGTAGTACTATTTAAGAATCCTGGTCAGATAAATGCATTAATTTATTCACTTCATCATCAATGTAGCTAAGGAAGGAAGAGGAGGAGGGAGAGAGGAAGGAAGGAAGGAAGGAAGGAAGGAAGGAAGGAAGGAAGGAGGAAAAAGTTCTTGGATCTGGTGCCTTTGTGGCCAAAACTTCCTTCCATCCATGACTGGGAAGAAGTCGCCACGTCTGGTAACTTCCTGTCCCCGAGCGTCTCCGGCACAGACAGTGCAGAGCCGGACGCCAAGTGCGGAAGAGGCCGTGCTGTTTCTGGGAGAGAACTGAAGGCCAGTGGCTGCTGAGGGAAGAAGGCGACGCCCACGTCCACGCGCACTGGTGATGCTTGTGAGAAGCTCAGAGTGGTCCTCGAGGCGTTAGAGCTCCGAGACGGGGCGCCGGGTGCCTTAAATCAGTGGTCGGCAAACCACGGTTCACGAGCCACATGCGGCTCTTTGGCCCCTTGAGTGTGGCTCTTCCACAAAATACCACGTGCGGGCGCGCTCGTACAGTGCGATGGAAACTTCGTGGCCCATGCGCAGAAGTCGGTTTCCGGAAAGGAGAGACGAAACAAGTATACAAGATGAGTGTGGATGGGAGCGTTGGAAGGGGTCGACCTCAGCGAACGTACCTCCATCAGATTGAGGACGTTTTTAGCAAAGGCCAGCTTAGGAGGACCCTAATGAAGTTAATAACAATGTGCCTACCTATATAGTTTAAGTTTAAAAAATGTGGCTCTCAAAAGAAATTTCAACCGTTGTACTGTTGACATTTGGCTCTGCTGACTAATGAGCTTGCCGACCGCTGCCTGACACTAACCGCTAACGTTCACTTGAGGAATAGCGGCAAAGTGACCCCACCACACGGCTGAGGCCTGGTGCAGTGTGAATTCACCACACTGTGAAATCACAACTCCATCTGTGCCAGGGGTGGGCAACCCCTGGCACGCGTGCCAAACATGGCACGCCAGTAACTTTTGCTGGCACGCAAAACCCTCTCTTATAATCTTCCATTTACAATTTTTTTCTTAATACTGACTTTTTTATTTTTCAGGTAAATTCAGTGTAGGTGCATCTTAGATAGATAAATAATTTTACATAACAAGTTATCTTGAAGACCATAGACATGGATTGACGAGAGAGGGGAAGAGCAATTTCTATGCCTCTGCCTTAACTCTCCCTGCCTTCCGAGATCCGACCAGTGTTTTGGTTTCAGCCTCAGACGCAACGGGTTTTCGTTGAGAGGACAACCGCCTCACCTACTGATTCAAAATTTCACTCTACAAAAGTGAAACCTTCTCTCTCGCTTTGCCCACCGGTACTAACAAAAGGGGAATAAATTTCTGTGTTTCTCTCGGCAGCAGAAGTCCCACTGATAATATCAAACGGAGACATAAAGTTTTCTGTCGGACTATCAGTGTACATGTATACGTTAAAAAATAAATGTATTTTTCATCATCATATACTGTTTTTGTCGCTCAAATGAATTTTATTATTTCTTCAAGATTCTTCACATACGTACACCTTAAGAGATATCAAGTAGGCGTAGCATGTTCTCAAAAAATTAGGGTTGGCACGCAGAAGAATTTTGAGCCAGAGATTTTGCTGGTTTTGGCACGCACTCACAAAAAGGTTGCCCACCCCTGATCTACACCGTGTATCCTGAGCATTACGCCATCTCAAATGTCTTGTGCAGTTAAGAAGAGCGAAAACTAAATAGTAAATGCACATTTACGTGCGGACGGTTCTTGCAACTGCATCTGCCTATTCCTGCTGACGTTCCTGCTGGGCAGAAGGGAGTCCGGGACAGCTGGCGCAGGGAGGGGGCACAGCCAGGGGCTCTGGGCTCCCTCGCAGCAGCATCCTGTTTGCTCTGAGGCCCACCTCCCGCTCCTGGGAGAAACGGGGGTGGTCCCACCACAGGATTGTCAGGCTGTACTTTTAGACCAGATGCCCTGCTTTGTGTGTTCTGCCTGAGAAACGCATTGCACGCAGTCCAGACAGCGGAAGAAGGTTGTGTGTGTGTGAAAATTGCAATCAGTGTCTAGCGTTTGCCCCTGGCACCCCAGTCCTGGGACCGCCGGCAGCCTCCAGGGTCATTCTGAATGTCCAGCTACTCCCATACCGCAGACCCTGCGGGAAGCAAGCCGGCCCTCCCAGGCCTCTGGGCAGGACCTGCTCCGTCGTCCTCTCCCCCGGGGAGCGGGCAGCGGGCAGCGAGGCCTCGGCTGTGCCCTGCCCCGGAGACCTTCCACGGGAGCTCCCAAAGCAGGATGACACGGAACAAGAGTGCAAGCTGGTCTTTCGTGTTTAGAGCTTCTTACATTGGGACAACCTCAGCATGCTCCCCCTTCTTGCCTGATCTCTGAGAGGCTATAGAATCAGCCCCCCTCTCCATGCCCCAGAGGGAGAAAGGGACGCTGTCGCTGGATGTCACTGTCGTCACTCATCTTGGGGCGTAAAAGAGGGAGCCAGGTCACTCCCTGGGGGAGGAGCAGTGGCTGGGTCTGCCTTAACCCCCCCTGGTGGTCGGTGTCTGTACTGCGTGGGCCTCTGGAACAGTTCAAGGAGCAGCATGGATACACCGGTGGATGCACGGGGGTGCGAGGCCTGTGGGCAGGAGCCTGTGGGTGGGGCTGTCATCTCCAGGAGAAATCTAAGGGCTTCATTGAGAATCCCTCTGAGCGCTGCCTCTGGGATTGAGTTTCTCGCTGACATTTCACAACTAATTTGGGGGTTTGCCAAGGAAAGGAATCTTCCCTGTTTTTCTGGGGGGGATCCCCCTAAAATAACAATTTAAGAGATGAAAATGCAACTTGCTACAAAGCAGGGACACAGGAGGGGAAAATAGCCGTCGGATGGCTTCCGTTCTGTGAAAACCGGATCCCCACCTGAGGGCACCAGGAAACGGACCCAGAGCCGCAGTGTCCCCGCGGAGTCACTCAGACACCACGCCCCGCGTGGGTGGGCGCTATTCTTCCACTAAGCGGTTTTGGGTACTTTTGTTCTGGGGAGAGTGGCCACCCCCATGCCCTTCCCCTGCCTGGGACACACCTCATGGCCCCTCCTGTAGCTTAAAAGCTTAAAACCTTAAAACATGGCCCTGAGGCAATGGAGGGCTTCCTGGGCTGGCCCGGGGGCGGCAGCCTGCAGGTCTATTTTAAGACGCTCGGGGCCGTGAGGGCTGGTGCCCGCAGTGAAGTGCCATGGGAGCTGGGCATGGGGTGGGGGAGGCCCGGGGGGTGGCAGGGGTCCACCTCCATGTGGGCCCTGAGGCCTGACGTCCCAGGAGCTGCTCCCAGCGAGGCTGAGCCCAGGATGCTGAGGCCAGAGGGTCTCCACTGACAGACACTCGGGCTCCAGAGCATTCCCTCGGCCTTGCTGCCCCCCACCCCCCACCCACTTTGTCAGCAGGCGGCCAGGACCCTCCCCGGCTGCCCTTCTGCCCCTCACACAGGGTCAGACTTGCTCTGAGGTCTGCTGCTCTCTCCTCATTTCTCCCAGGTGGTCCCCCTAATTCTGGCCTCACCGGTTAATCCCACCTTTTCGTGTCCCTCCTGGAGGACCGGCTCACATCCCCCAAGGCCGTGAAGTCCCAGAGCCCTGGGCACCCAGACATGACCTCCAGGGGGAGGACACAGGCTGCAGTGGGACAGGAGGGAGGTGGGCCACTGAGGACCTTCCGAGTGTGGGGCTCAGGGACACCTGCTGCCTGTGATGCGGGGCCCCTTTCCACATGGGGGCGGTGAGGACTCCCCATCTTACAGTCTCACTCTCCCCGCCTCCCTTCCTGTGGACTCGGACGCTGGCGCAGCCACATAGGTTTGTCTGGTCCTGTCTGCCTGGCTGCTGGTTGCCGGGCTGCTGGTGATGAGGGGCCCCTGGAGCCCTCTCTGGTGGGGCTTAGGGAGCCCGAGCGCCAGGGCACAGAGCCGAGCAGGGGCGCCCTGGGCACTGGGGGCTGGAGGCAGCGAGGGAGCGTCTTGGTGGAGCTGATTCTGCCGCACCTGTTGTTTTTGGCAGCCTAACGTAGCCTGCATTTTTCTGTCCTGGGGAGCCCTGAGCTCGCTGGCTTCCTTTTAATAACTCTCCTTTCTGCTCAAGTCGGATGCAGGATGTTTCTGTTGTTTGCGGTTAAAACCTCAACTGATACAGTCCCTTGGCTCACGTAGGGCGAGGACACGTGTGAGGTACCTTCTGTGCTGTCTTAGGTGGAGAATATTAGACTGTTTACGCCAAAAGCGGTCCTGAAAACTAGATGGGAGGAAGGGCTCTGGGCATCGCTCTACAAGCATGACCCCTCCTGCCCGTCTTACAAGTGCTCTCCTCCCACAACCCGGTGTCCACCATGGATGAGCAAGCGTGACGTACACATTCCACTCCCTGCAATGGACTATCATGCGGCCTTTAGAAGGAGGGGGATCCTGCCAACTGCTGCGACACGGGGGACCCCTGAAGATACCACGCTGCGTGAAATAAGCCGGACAGAGGGACACAGCTTGTACGAGTTCGCTTACCTGAGGTCCCTAGAGCCGTGGTCGGCAAACTGCGGCTCGCGAGCCACATGCGGCTTTTTGGCCCCTTGAGTGTGGCTCTTCCACAAAATACCACGTGCGGGCGCGCGTACAGTGCGATTGAAACTCCGTGGCCCATGCGCAGAAGTCGGTTTTCAGCCTGGGCAAGTCTATTTTGAGGAAGTACTGTTGATATTTGGCTCTGTTGACTAATGAGTTTGCCGACCACTGCATGGAGTCATAACTCACAGAGGCAGACTGCAGAGTAGAGGGGCCCA